CCCCCCCTCCAACTCGTTAACCACCCAGCGATCTGACTGCATTATATGCAATTTCATTTAAAAGCATGTGCATCAAGCCCCTCTGGGATGAATATTCTGTGTGTGTACATTAATCCTTCGGTGACCTTTCCCAATTATATAATCATTAACCCCTTAGGACCTAGCCCCCGTTTCTTCTGCCTGTGTTGCATTGTTCTCTTAGCTGCCAGTACGTGTGCATTTACCCCTCAGTAGCCACTCCTCGGCACTTATGTAACAACCCCTCTATGCCCAGCACATGTGCGATGACCCCTCAGCCGCCAGTCTTTAAATGTGAGGGATTATTGCACATGTGCTATTTAGTGCACCATGCCAAATATGAGTCTCCTCTCCAATGACTCAGGTGCAGTGAGAATCTCAGCTCTACTAACCCATTTCCTCTTTTCACAATCTTGGGGAACAAAGCTCTGCCGCATCTCCCACGTTCACAATATAGCCTCCACTGTTCTTGGACACCGTGACACAGTGCCCTCTACTAAACTGATTACATTTTGGTGTCTTCTTTCCAACATCCATCATTCCTAATTCCACCGGCACAGTCCTTCCTGTTTAAACTTCAGTGTCCTCCCCACCATCTCTAATGTTCACAGTGCTGCTGACATGATCCCTACCCCGCTACACTGATTTTAACCTCTATTTCACTTCTATAAAGACCTCAGCTCCCATACTGCTGCACTAGATTTATGCAGTTTTGTAAATAGGTATTAAATGCATTATGGGGTACAATTCTTGAATCATTGTAATTTACCTGTATGGCTATGCCCATCATTTTTTTTAACTTTGGAAAAAATCAGTAACCACCATTTCCTTTTTACATTTAGCTGACTAGATGAGTGGCAGTGGGCAAACTAACTTACCGAGGCCATGCCGATGTGTAGACATAGGTGGCATAACACTCCATGTTTTTGTTTTGGGGTTATAACACTCCACAGTGTTTAGCGTTTTCAGTCCATCTCGCCCCCCAACAACATACAGTTTGTCATCCAACACAGCAACACCAAACTGGAGCCTTCGTCCATTCATGATGGCTACAGGGGTCCACACGTTGGTACGCAGATCATACTTTTCAATGCTTGTAGCTCCTATAGTAGTTAATAAAACAGATCTGTTTATTTGCGATCAGTAATTAACATCTGGTATAAGACCATTAAAAGTATGGCCAACTAAAAGTCAAAACATAACGATCTACATGTAAATCAATGCCTCCTTTCTGCGCTTTAAGTGAAAAGAGTATAAAGCTCCTTAAAAAGCAATGTAAACATTATTTGAGCAAGTTAGAATTATTGTCACGTTAACTGATGCAACCTGAAGCTGGTATATTTGCGCTGGGCATCTAGGCTTCAAAGAATTATGGTCATAAGGCTGTGTATGTAAGGGTGCTTTGTCCAGCACCTGCAGTGATCATGCCAAGTACCCTGGGATCCCTCCAATTTTTGTGGTCCAGTACACACTTTGTTTAACAGGCTCTGAGGAAGGGGGCACCCAAAACACACTGGATATTACATAATACAAGAGTGAATATACAGTAATTGAATATGGCTGTCCCTTCTTGAGCCACACCATTCCTAAAAAATATTTGTTAGGAAAATCATTATCTCTGTACTGCTTAAGACCAAATTAGAACACCTAGTTTTTAAGAACAGCGTCGTCGTCCCCCCTCTCCCCCCCAACAACGCAAACATTTCTTCTACTTCTGGTCATGAAAGAGATAACCAAAAGGATTTAAAAAAAAAGGTAAAAAAGCTAAAAAAGTTATCCAAAAAGGGTTCAAATTTCCATTCTCTTTGGACCCTAGCTATCCAGCTGTTCGACCACTCTCCATTTGCCACAGGAGTTTAGCAGCTGGATACCAGAGCTATAATACATATTGATTTGATTTTAATTGTGTTCATGTTCCATATAAATGATCTGTTAAACTTGACTTGAAGTACTAGGGGGTCCATAATATAAACAAGTCAAAAACACCTATTCTGTGTTGAGAGATTAATATGGGTATTACCTTTGGTTGCATCCATACCACCAACAGCAAAAAGCATGCCCACTGTTGACTTTCTGGGCTTTGTTCGCGGGCTCTGTAGCATTGGTCTCCTCTCAGGCAACAAATGGTATTTCATGGCTTCCATAATGAGCTTCTGACACTCAATGTCATCTCTAAACAGAGCATTATTCTCCATGTCTGCAAGAAACTAACAATGAGATGCTTGATTATCGTTTTGCCAAAAACTTCCACTGTGAGGTCTGAATTGTACAAAACCTGTTGTCTGCAGACCTTGAGAAGCCCATGGATCCCCTATCCCTCCACTGGTTGCAAGCATTTTGTAGACCAAAATTTTGTGTTTCTTTTTTAACAGCGGGTTCTACAGCTTTCTATTCTATAAACATCACACATCTGTATTCTATAAAACATTCCAGTAGCTTAAGATATAAATGTGTGTAGCTCAGAAAATGAAAATAAACACTTATGCTTCGGGCCTCATTCACACAGGCACAGATGCCAGTACAGCCTGAATGGAGGCATTTGTTTATGTGGCCGGGAGGCACCTGGGAGTGACGGGCGTCTGCTTACATCCGTGCCTGCACACAGGTCCACAATGGGATGTGTGGAAAGATCCATACAGCCACAGAGTCGGTCACTGGTTTTTACAGCCTGACAGCCGTGGCTACAAGCAGACACCTATCACTCCCAGCCCATGTAAATATAAATAGTCCAATATAAATATTCAATTGATCTGGATTTTTAAACAATACACTCTTAAACTGAACCTGTGCCCAGATCATTCACACTAAAAAAAAAAAATCATATAATCTGAACAAGCAGCAAAAGCACTTAAAAACCCGCTAAAAACCTCATTCACCGATGTATCTATAAGCATTGTGGAGTAATGTCTTCTTCAAACTTCACAATACTGTAATTAAAACCTTTCCCCATTACTTACTGCTGCACCAGAATCTTAGCAACCTGCCAACCTTTTAATATTAAAACACAGTAGGAGTTTCTAAGCTGCTGGAAACCAACTTAACCCAGCTTTAGAGTCTTTGTTGTGATCTTCGAGCATATTTGAAAATGGAGTAACTTTACGTTAAAATCACAGAGAGGTCACCGATGGAGTGTTTAAAACTCTTTTTTTGAAAGTATTATGTAAATAGTGTAATATCTATATCTGGGCACTGATGCAGTTTAAATACCATTATCTTCAATTCAGTTATCGCTTGGACAGGATTAATGCGTGTGTGTGTGTGTGTGTGTGTGTGTGTGTGTGTGTGTGTGTGTGTGTGTGGTGTGTATATATATGTATATATATACATAACAAGCACGGTTAGTCTGGTTAGCATTATTCAAGCAATCATATGCACATTTATGTGACAGATCACCAATGGCAATCAGCAAACTGTGAAAATATGGGACAGACCAACCGTAGACAGCCGAAAGAGAAGAATAGTAAGAAAAAAAAACAGGCTTTCATGTCTTTGATCAAGTGTTCTATGTGGATTTGTTCTATGTGGATTATGTGGATTTTTTAACACTGATCAACAGAAATAGACCTTTTCATTTAGAAGTGAAAACATACCTCTGCAAATGGATTACAATAAAAAAATTAAAGTAAAATAAATAAAATCACAAAATATCTGACTGAAGAATAATACACCCCTCACTTTTGGCAGTGATTACAACTATGCCACCGTGTGGCTAGCACTCTATCCGCTCTGTACATCTGGACATAGCAATTGCTCCCCATTCCGCTTTACTCAAGCTCTGTCAGGTTGCATGGAGATTGTGGATGAACAGCCTTTTTTTATGTAATATTGGCTATCAATCTAGACCAGAGGTAGCCAAACTCCAGCCCTCCAGCTGTGGTGAAACTACAAAATCACAAGATGCATCTCTCTCCAGGAATCATGTCTGTGGCTGCGAGAATCTTGCAATGCCTCATGGGATTTGTAGTTCCACCACAGCTGGAGGGCCGGAGTTTGGCTACCCCTGATCTAGACTCTGACATGACACAACTAGGACATAAACAATGTTAAGAGAACTATGGCCTAACCTTTTTTTTGCCATAGTTCTCTTCAGAGTCACAGGAAGACATATATTAATACCTTCCTGTGACCCAAAACTGCACATATAGCGGGCTATTGCAGAGCAGCGCCGCAGCTGGGACGGATCCCGACAATATTGTCGGAATCCACCCCGCTGGCTGATTGACAGTTGGTTCTGCGCTGGAGGAACGGGGATCCCTGCAGGGAGTGGTGACTGCCAGTCACCGCTCCCTGCAGTGAAAGGACCAGGCACTTAGTGATCGGTGGTATGAGTTCCCCTTGTTCCTGATCAATAGAGCCGATGTGTGACAGCTTCAGTGTCACAGGTCGGCTTGAATTATGGGGATGAGTGTATTTCACTCACCTCATAATTCTCCTTTAAGTCTTTTTTTTCCCGCAAAGCCACTCGGCCTGAAAATCTCTGTTAATGTTCGTTCTGGTAAAAACAAATGTTCTTGGTATATTTTCTTTTCAGGTTGACTGTAATCTAGTACTGCTTCATGGCCACTAGATGGAGTTTATGAGCATAGTAACTAGTTATTTTTGTCTTCCCAAAGCTCATGTTTTTTGCTTTCTTCCAGTATTTGCCTATATTTTGCTGCACAAGCCTTTGAGGGCTTTCTGCAGAGCAGCATTCCCACAGCATGATACTGCCATCACCATGTTTTATGGTGGTGATGATGATGTGTTTATGATGATCTGCAGTGTTTGGTCATACAGCTTTGGTCTCATCCAACCTCATAACCTTCTTCTAGCTACTTTCAAAGTCTCCCAAGTGTCATCTGGCAAACTGCAGACAAAATGTCATAGGAGTTTTAATTAACAGTAGAGCTGCAGCTAACGATTATTTTCAAAATCGATTAGTTAGCCGATTATTAGGTTCGATTAATCGGTTAATCGGATAAACAATAAAATAACGTTTAAAAAAAAGGCTCCAGTGATGGGACTACTAGTTTGTATTGAGGTTGTAGTCCATCACAGGAGAAAGCTTGGAGCGGTGGAAGTAAAAAAGAAAAAAAAGACAGTGTGGTGTGCAATATAGTGAAATGGAAAGTGTAAAATTATACAGCATTCAATGCAGAATGGCATCGGCTATAGAGGACTACAAAACCCAGCAATCGTACATTATACAGCGCAATGCAGAATAACCACAAATCCCAGCAATAGTACATAATAGCTGGTGGCATTCTGCATTGCGCTGTATAATCTACTATTGCTGGGTTTTGTAGTCCTCTGTAGCTGGTGGTATTCAGCATTGCACCACTGTATAATGTATTATTGCTGGGATTTGTAGTGCTCCTCTATAGCTGGTGGAATTCCGCATGGCGCTGTATAATGTATTATTGCTGGGATTTGTAGTCCCCTATACAACACAATGCAGAATATCACCAGCTATATAGGAGTACAACAAATCCCAGCAATACATTATACATACAGTGTATAATGTATTGCTGGGATTTGTATTCCTATGTATAATATACAGCACAATGTACCATAAGCTATAGAGGAATACAAATCCCAGCAATACATTATAGAGCACCATGTGTGGAAAAGTGCAGGCTTACCTGAGCTGTCTTCCAGCAACTTGCTTCTGAGATCGGACATGTCTATCGGCGGCTGTCATCACCCCACACCTGCTCCTCCTTACTACATCTCCCTGCGCCGATCGTGGATGTGGGTGGGCGGTAAGTGTGAGGCTGGAAGGAGGTGTGGCGTGTGGAGCGTGGATGCGGGTCTGGCAGCGGCGAGCGTGAGGTGGGGAGGAGGTGCAGCGCACAGCGTGTGGAGCTGTGAACAGGGCCAACTGATCGGAAGCCGATTAATCGATTGAAAAAGTTGACAACTTTTTCAATAATCGATTATGTCGATTAGTTGTTGCAGCCCAAATTAACAGTGGCTTCCTTTTTGCCACTTTCCCATTAAGCTGTGACTGGTGATGCACCCAGCAATAGTTGTTGTATATATAGTCTCTCCAATTGCAGCTAAAAAGGTGTGTAACTTCTTCAGAGCAGTCATAAGTCTCTTAGTGGCCTCCCTCACTAGTCTCATCCTTGCATAGTCACTTTTGGTGGATAGACTGTTCTTGGTACATTTACAGCTGTGCCATATGCTGTCTATTTCTTAATAATGGTTTTAAGTAACCTTCCTAATAATCGCTTTAACTTGATTTTAGCTGCTTGGGGTGTTCCGTTATCTTCATGGTGTAGGTCATGCCATGATACTGACACCAAAAGTTGGACCTTCCAGATACATGTATATTTACACTACAATCACTTGAAACATCTTGCTTACACACAGGTGATCTCCACTTTTGTTAAGTAAAAAAAATGCCTCTGGGTGATTACTGTGCAATGCGTATAGGTTAACAAACTTTGTTTCAGATTCTACCTTTTTCTGTTCTTAAGAAATAGCTGTTTTACAATGCCGCTTCCAGACTGATTCCTAAATGTGAGGCTCTGTGATTTTTATAAACGCCTGAGCAAGTCTCAGTGTTCTAATAAGGCAAGCTGCAGTGTCTGCAACCCTTTAGTAGACAAGCCTCGGGGACTATCCCACAAAATTGAAATTCCTATTGCAGGGAATACCCAAAACGTACTTGTCATCTTAGTTCAGACTTCAGAGAAAATCAGTGAGGCAATCACAAAAACAGGAACTTACATTTCTAGGGACATTCCGTACACCCACTGTACAGCACGCCTCCAGGTTGCCATATTGCGTAACTCGTTTTGACAGTGTTAAAAAAATTACAGAAACCGCAGAATGAAATGGAAAGGCAGGTTTTTAATAAAGTTTATTTCAACTTTTTGAAGTAAAGTAAAATTTGAGATTCTCTGTAGTAGGCCTTTGCATGCTTCTCTAAAAATTCCAGGTGACAGGAAACTCTGGCTGCCATCATAGAAAGACTAAGGACACTAAAGGTGGCCATAGGTCTTGCGATGGTTGTAAAGTAATTAAAAAAACATACGATCTGACCATCTTGGACAGGCAGATCGTACCTGCAATCGGGCTTCCGATGACCGCAATGCTGAACGGGCAGTGTGCGCGTGCGCACACCGGCCCGTGCAGGATTGATCTTACGATCATGCTAAAAACCAGCCAAAAATCGTACGATTCTCGGCTGGTTTTCTAGCATGCTCCTTAGACAAAAGGCGTGCGACCGTTTTTACTGTACGGTCGCACGTCTTTTGTCTATACACTTTGCGATTATCGTACGATCGCGGGATTTCCCGCGATTATCGTGCGATAATCACACAGTGTATGGGCACCTTAAGTTTCCCCTCATTAACATACAATGCTTCTAGGTCTATCATAAAGCCACACTCTGGGCAAAATGATAATTCACACTGGATGAGTAAATTATCATTAAAAAGCTAATTGGTATGTGCAGGAGGGCTGCTGCAAAATACAGAACACCCAGCTTCTGGCCAGTGAAGCGAGGGAGAGATGGGACCCGAGCTGTACATCGCTCTGGTCACATCACCCACCCCTCTTCACTATCCTCCATTCACAAAAATGTTTTGGATTTTTTTTAAAGCATTCAAGACATCCTGTGATTGGAGGGAGAGAGGAGGGGGCGGAGATATGACTATCTTTCCTCCTCTAACCACAGAATGTCCCCAGCCTGATCTGCCTGTCACAAGAGGCCAAGCAGTGCATTGGGTGCTGCTTTGTGTAAGAGGGGACACAGAGCAGCACACAACAAGAAGGAGAGAAACTAAGGATGCACCGCATTTTCGGCCAAAATTTTTTTTACATCGGCATTTTGCCCAAAGTACTATTTTCGACTGAAATGTTTTGGTGGCCGAAATTTCGGTACATTAAGTTTTAACCCTTTCCTACTCTATGCAAAATTGAAAAATAAGTTTAAACCCAAACATAATGAACTCTGACGGTTGTGCGTTTGACTGCGCTTCCAATTCTAAGTATGGAACTTTGGTGAAATGACACATACTATGCCCAAGAAGTGTAAAGCAAACACATTTTTATATGTGATATATATGGAATGTTACTGAACTTCATACAGGTGCTGATAACCAGGGGAAACATAGTACCTGCGATGCCAATAGGGGTAACCGGATATAGGCCAGAAGTTTGCTGAGGTCCTTTCTCCTCTGTTCTACATCATGCCGCACCCAGGTGAGCAAGGCATTCAAGATGGTTTCTTCATTGGGAATGTTCATATCATCACTTGCTAAAAGCTTAGCAATTTCAGCAGCTGGTAATAATAAAAACTCTTGATTTCGTATTACTTCCATGAAATGTTCCTACAAACAGTAAAAAGCAATATCAATGGATGAGTCTGGTTCGTGTGGGCTCTATTGGTTAAATCATTAGAATCAATTAGTAAAATACTGTTCCTTGATGGTACCTGTACAGCAAAAATTGAGACCGCTGCAAATCCTCACACAAAATATTGTATGAATATTCATTTCACTTATACAAACATCCCTGTTTACTTAGTTCATCTGCACATGAATGGCTGTTCCACATCAACAGAAACTTGCTCTTTACATGATTGTGAATATCCGCACAATTTCTTGTTTGAAGATTCTCAACTCCATTAGTAAACCATTATCTCTGGTATTTGAAAAATGATTGCAAATACTTAGAGTGGTCCCAACAGAATGCTAACCGTTTGTGAGTAAAAGTATTCATACATTAGTGGGGAATCCCTAAACACTGTGCTTTGTAATGTCAGCAGGACAAGCCAGCCAAAGTGCACCATCTAACGATCGAACTGCCATTAAGATCTTAGGGGCTCGTTTAAAAAGCAGAAGTCGGACGTCATGACATCACAGCTGGAAGGAAAGACTGATCATGTAACCTGTCCAACCGATTTTTCATCAATCATGGAGCTCTCGCTGCCAGCAATACACTAGGGTCTGTATTTTATGAATGGGCTGTAAAATGCAGAGAGAGGCATCGGCTCTCCTTTATAAATCAGCCACTTGGTGGACAAGCAACTCTCACTTCCACTTTTAAAGCAGCTGTGCTGTGTGTAGTCCCAAAGTCAACAGAGTTTCCTCCGGGTACTACAATTTCCTCCCACACTACAAGAACCTGCTGGTAGGTTAATTGGCTCCTCTCTAAATTGGCCCTCATATGAATGAATGTGAGATACGGATCTTAGATTGTAAGCTCCTTGGAGGTCAGGGACTGATGTGAATGTGCACGGTGTAAAGCACTGTGTAAACTCTCTCATTAATTCACACAGAACTGGTCAGACACATTCCCTCCCTTCCTGTGCAACTGAAGTCTGTTTGTGAGGAAGGATGTGGTCCGTTACTCAGCTCTGCCACCACAGACTTCTGCAGTGTGAGGGCAGGAGGACATTCACCGAGAGAAAAAGATATATATATATATATAAAAAATAAATCCAAGCCAATTTTGTCACAAAACATGTAGGGGTATAGGACTATAAAGAGATTTAAAAAAAATGTTAAAGAGACTTTTAGAGCCAACTGAGCTTTAAAGAATAGAAATAGTGCACAGTAAAGTAAACACAGAGGGAGGCGCCTTTCCTGGTGCAGATCAATTTTATTTGAAAAAAAAAAATGAAAAGCCTGCCACTTTAAGGACATAAACCCTCCCACCTGCCAGTTGTAGCAAGCAGTATCAAAGGAAATGAGTGGAGGGAGCTCTGTCCCTCAATGGACCCCGAGAAAAACGGTTTTACGTTAAGAACAAAATCCTATTTACTCTATCGTCCATTGAGGGACACAGCTCTGAAGAATTCTGAGATGTAGGGACATTCAGAAGCAGTCCAAAACAGAGGGGCAGGCACCATACAAACTAGAATCAGTTCAAATACTCAAACAGCAGCCTTTAGAACTTTTCAGCCAAAACTAGCATCAGAAGAGGAAGAAACATCAGCTTGATCCCACAACTTCAATATTTTGTTCTGAGAAAGGAACACTTTTCCTTGATGGGCACCCAACAGAAGACCCAAATACTCCAAACGATGTGATAAAACAATGGACGACTTCTCAATGTTCAGAATCCATCAAAAGTCCTATAATGTCCACAGCACCATCTGGACATGGAGCTTAAAAGTAGGAAGAGACTGTTTTTAAAGTAAAATGTCTGATAATCAATGATTAAAAGAGAATTATGGGGTAAGTGTTTTTTTCCCCATAGTTCTCTTAAGGGTCACAGGAGGACATACAGGTGAAACTCGAATAATTAGAATATCGTGCAAAAGTAATGGCAGTAATTGCTGCAAAAGGGGCCCAAACCAAGTACTGAGTACATATGCATGCTTGTACTTTTCAGAGGTCCGATATTGTTCTATGTACAATCCTTGTTTTATTGATTGCATGTAATAATCTACTTTTTTGAGGTTGTGGATTTGGGGTTTTCATGAGCTGTAAGCCATAATCATCACAATTATGACAAATCACGGCTTGAACTATCTCGCTTTGCATGTAATGAGTCTATCTCATATATTAGTTTCACCTTTTAAGTTGCATTAGTGAAATAAATTAACTTTGCGCGATATTCTAATTATTCGAGTTTCACCTGTATACTAAACTCCTCCAGTGACCCACAGCTCAGTATAGATCCATGAACCCATCGCACTCCTGACCGCTTGTCTCCAAGGAAAATCAAATGCATGCTGCGGTGATCGACGGACGCCAACCGTCATACAACAGTAGAAACAGGGACACCGACACTCCAATGTAAGCGTGAAAATAAAGTCTTATTTATTGACGAACGACATGTCAAAAAGATGCATCTTTGTGACATGTCGTTCTTCAATAAATAAGACTTTATTTTCACGCTTACATTGGAGTGCCGGTGTCCCTGTTTCTACCAAACCTCAGTATATCGCGAGCTACAGATCACGGTATACTGAGACCGCTGCAGCCGAGACGGATCTCGACATTACTACACCCAGCTGCGTGCGTGATATCAGGCTCTGCCTATCTTGAAAGAAGAGCCAGCTTTGCCTACCCCCTCTTCATCCATTCCTCCAGTCAGCACTGGAGGATCGGAGAGGGGGGAATCCCTGCAGGAAGCCGTGACCGCCAGTCACCACTATCTGCAGGGAGATGATCGAGAAGTGAGCAAACGATGGTATACCGTGAGCTGTAGCTCGCGATATATTGAGCTGACGTGAGACCGTTTCATTGTCACACGTCGGCTCGAACTATGAGGATGAGTGATTTTCACTCACCTCATAGTTCTCCTTTAAAAACTCTAAGGCCTCTATCTATCTCACATGCATACACAAAACATACTAGGGAAAATTTAGACAGGGGCCAATTAACATACCAGCATGTCTTTGGAGTTTTGGAGGAAACCAGAGCACCCAGAGAAAACCCATGCCAGCACAAGGTGAACATGCAAACTCCATGCAGGTCGTGTCCTAGCCGGGATTTGAACTGGGGATCCCCAGTGCTAAACCATTGAGCCACTGTGCTGCCATAAATGGGAAGAGTCACTTCATAATGAGAAAGAGTCACTTCCTAAAATGATTTCATTAGTTAAATGTGTAAAACAGTAGCACAGGCTCTTCCATCCCTTTCTCCATTGCCTGTGCTCTTCCCTGATAATGGAACAATGTTTTCCTCACCATGGCATTGCTTCAATTGTGCAGAGCCTGTTCTAGCAGATGGATGAAAGATGTACGCCAGGAGCACAGTGTTCCATATGATCTGAATTCTTTCCACACATATTTCTATAACACTTCGCCTCAGAAATCCTGCCACTACAAAATATTTTTGGCTGTCTATTTCTGTTTATATGCTTCCCTAAATCTGATAACGTTAAATGGTAAAAAGAAAAAGACAAACTGTAAATATAGCTTAGTGTTGTAGGAGTAGACCCGGAAAACTGAAATGCAATATTTTTTTTTTTTTGTATGTATACTAACCTCAAGTATGTTTATTCTTCATCCTGCATCCATACGATTCATACAAACTGATCATTTGAGCAGATGTATCTATAAAAAATAAGTCAAGGCCATAGGACTTGCTGTATTTTTCTTAAAAACGTTTCACTGGTCATCCAACCAGCTTTCTCAATTCAGAATGACTTGTACAAAAATTCTCTGGGATTAAATATGGTGAATGTCGCTCCAATCCACAAAATCTGTTAATTGCAACCAGGTGTTGATAGTATTTGCATAATTGGAGCTAGGAGGTGTTATTAACCTGCCCAGAGAGAGAGAGAGAGAGAGAGAGAGAGAGAGAGAGAGAGAGAGAGAGGTGAGAGAGACCGCATTGTAGACTGGGCTTTTGTCAAAACAGAGAAAAGAAGAAGAGGAAAGAATGCTAAGAGTACCAGCGAGACAAACTGAAGAATTTGGTCATCCCATATCTAGCTGGGGTGTCCGAGAAACTCAGAAGGGAAAAAGCATCACATTCTTGTCTGCTTTAAACCCAGCAATACACTGAGGCAACAACTGGTTCACCCAAAAGACCCAACGCCAAAACACAAGATGAACAACATTGTGTACGCAGTCCAGTACACTGAGGAGTGCTCAGAATTGTACGTCGGTGAAACAAAACAGCAACTACACCAGCGTATAAAGAGCCAAACCCTCTGGTCAGGTCAGGACAGGATTCGTGGTTAATGACACCTCCTAGACTCCAATTATACAAATACAATCAACACCTGGTTGTGACTAACAGATTATGTGGATTGAAACAACATTCACCATATCTAATACCAGAGAATTTTTGTACAAGCCATTCTGAATTGAGAAAGCTGGTTGGCTGGCCAGTGAAACGTCTTCAAAAAAAAATACAGCAAGTCCAGTTGCCTTGACTTATTTTTTTACAGATATACCATGAATGAGAACCTTCACAGACATTTGAGCAGATGGTTTTGGCACTGATCCCAACTCAGAAGCTCCTAATACTTTTGGGGAAGAGAAGGTAACTATGGAACAAAAGGGGTTTACCAAGTGTTGAGTTCAGGTGAGGTGTTAAAGCAGAACTCTAGCTTATGGTAAAAAGATATTTAAATTGCCCCATTTGTTTGAAAATTAAAAAAAAAAGCAGCTCTTGCGGCAATACTCAACTCTTCTCTGGCAAGATTCTCTGCAGAAAGTCCTTCCCCATGGCTCAGCAATGTTTGCCTTCCGGGTTGAATGACAGCCAGCATCCATTCAATGTAAAGTGATATTAAAGTCAAAATGCTTTAACCTATGTTAAATGCGGATTACATCACTTACAATGGATGCTGCTTCTTGGTGTTTAAAAGTTTTAGCTTCCTGCACAATCAGCTGGTCTCTTGAGCAAGGTTCATGATATCCTGTTTTAGGGGGCTTCTTTCCCTTGCAGGGTCCCTTCTTGGAGCCACCCTTGTGTGTGCTAGTAAGCTGTGTGCGTCTCCACAAACACACAGGCAGCGCAAGGGAAGTTACTTCCGGAGCCCTCTTTCATCAGCACCCCCACTCCTTTTACACCAGAAGTCTCCCCCCTTTGGCAAAAATTTGAGAAAGGCTTGTATAGGTGTATGGTGATATCTACATGGGGTGAGTTATTCGGTTTCCCTGTTCGAAGGATCTCAGACTACTACTATGCAGACAGCCAATTTCCATTGAGAGAAGTCTGCGCTCAGATCTCGAGATTGAAGAAATGGAAAGAACTCATTCCCAATTACAGATCTGTAAAACTTGGAATTATTTAAAAAAGAGAATTATGGGGTAAGTGTTTTTCCCCATAGTTCTCTTTAGGGTCATGGGAGGACATACACTAACCTCCTTCCGTGACCCAAAACTCAGTATATTGCGGGCTATTGCCCGTGATATACCGAGAGCGCCGCAGCTGGATCAAGATCCACCCAGCTGGGTGAGTGATAGCTGGCTCTGCCTATGTAGAGGCAGGACCAGCAATGCCCGCCCCTTCCCCGTTCGTTCCACTCAGCGCAGGAGAATCGAGGGGGGAATCCCTGCGGGGAATGGTGACTGACAGTCACCGCTCACTGCAGGGAGACAATCTGGGAAGTGAGCGGATCGGCGGCATGTTTCTGCTCACTTCCCGATCGATAGAGCCGACCTATGACAGCTTCTTTGTCACACGTCGGCTCTAACTATGAGGATGAGTGGAAAAATCACTCACCTCATAGTTCTCCTTTAAGGTTATTGACTAATTTCTGGATATTCACTGGCAAAACAAGTTTTGGGTGTTATGCACTTGACTTGGAGTCGATCTTGATTTACTTTATTGTTCTGATCTTTTTACTTATAGTCACAGAACTATCAGACGGATCTACCTAATAAGAGATGTTTATTTAACCTCAATGAAGGGAATAAAAACTGGAGCAGACAAAATTTGGAGCAGCTGTGCTAAGTACCCAATCAGCTTCTCCCTTTCATTTTTAAATATTAACTGAAGAGAGAAGCTGATTGGTTGCCATGCACAGCTGCTCCAGATTTTGCCTGCTCCAGTATTGATAAATTCCCCCCATTTATTCAGAGCATGGAATGTTCATAAAGAAAAATAATCAAATCAGTGAAGTGTTGAACGAATTGATGATATTTAAGAGAGGCACACATCATGTAAAATAGAGCTACAATAAATAGTAAATAACTACCCACAATGAAATCCACGTCGAGATGCAGAACGCAGGAATGAATAACTTCACTGGACCTATAAATATCTCCCAAATTACAGTTGGTGGCAGAATGAGCAAGGCAACTACATTGCCATCTATAATTATCAAGTTTTTGGTTTTTTTCTTTAAATAATACACATGAATGTCACGGGCTGAGAAGCAGCTATAAGATATACATTTGAGAAGCACATTATGGTTCCCATAGAAACATGAACATTAATGCAGCAGAGTTACAAGATTTCCAACTTGCATGCTCATATAACTCATTACTAAAATTCCCTTTCTGTACACCAGCTAAAACAATATGAAAACAGACCTGGGGGAAGAATTTCATCTCAACAGCTTATTACTTTTTAAACCGCCTTTTGTCTCCTGCGCTCTCATAATGTGCTGGCTATATAATGTACATAGTAATAACAGCTAATAGATGGAAAATAACTGGAAGAAAGGAATATGCAGATAAAGAGGACTGGCAAAGCAAGTATAAATGGCACAAATTATTGCAATCACTAATACGTCGTTTACTGTATTTTCTAATATACAAAGAGGACAAGTACTAGAATTTGACTTGGTATCTGTTCTCTGCTGTGCAGCGACTACAAGAGCTGAGAGGGGGCAAATCATCAGCTGTGCTGATATGGAAGAAGCATGTTGAGAGGTGCAGGGAGCAGAGTGACATCGATGAGCTCATCAGTATGCTGCTTCTCATTTTACTATCCAGTCACAGGGCGGGGTAAAAGTAGCAGAGACAAAATGGTCCCAGGTCCCTTTTCCTGCAAGGCAAGACTGTACTATCTGGCAGTTGTTGTGCAGAGTTGTGCAAGGCTTAAAGAGGTGTTAGTCTCCATTTTTTTTACATGCATCTACTGCTTGCTAGCAGTAGATACATGCCCCAACATTTAAAAAACGTAAAAAATGTGGCCAAATATGTAATTTACATGCGTCTGCTCGCTCCCAGCTGCAGAACACAGCTTCCCAAACAGCCGTGCAGCAGGAAGATGTGTGCGGGCGCATGCGTACTTGATTATAACTCGTCACGTACAGTGTGCGTGGCCAGTCATATAGGCACAAAGTGACAAGACGTACACTGTACGTCTCCCGTCACGAAGGGGTTAATGGAGAGGAGGAGTGACACAGTGTAAGTGAATAAACGCAAGCTGGGTGCGTGCACGGAGGACAGACTCCGTGGGACACAGGAAGAAATGGGAGTCGGCGATGGATGAGAGAGCAGCACAAGCCCTGGAGGGACTGTTGGAAATGACTGGAAGGAAGATGTTGTTCGCAGCAAGTTAAATCTTCAAAATGCATTCAGGAAAGTTAACTAATAACAAAAATGTAACTTATTTGTGTATCACTCGGCTGTAGATCCTCAAACCATCTCTGAATTGGCACTGACACTGTCCTTCCTTCTGGAGGGAGGCTACTTTTGTTCCCCATGGTCCCTGTGTGTGTTGTAAAGTAACCACCACTCCAAGCTCACTCCCGTGATGATATACAAATAAGATACATTTTTGTTATTAAAGTGACATTAAACCCTCAGATTTTTTAACATAAACCAATACTGTAATGTGTGCCTTACTGTAATCCATGGTTGTTTCCCCTCTCTTTGCTGCTCTTCCTTTTAAATCCTCATGTCTTCTCCTGCTTCGGGAGAACTTCCCTTTGCAGCTGACTGCCTCTTCCTGTAGTGCTGGCTCAGGTTGCAAACGTACACACAGACACCATGTATCCATTCCAGAGACAAGGCAGTCTGCTGCAAAACAGAAGTTCTGCCCAGATTTAAAAGGAAGAGCAGCAAAGAGAAGGGAAGCAACCATGGATTACAGTAAGGCACACATTACAGTATTGTTTTAGGTTTAAAAATCTGAGGGTTTAATGTCACTTTAAAGGTACTTGAATGCATTTTTAAGATCCAACTCCTGAGTTTAGTGTCAGCTTAACAACACCCCATTTACACACAGCTAACCCTGGACAATATGGCATTACATACTACCTGCTGTGAATTATGGACATATTGGAAATGATGAATGCAGCAGTGAGATTAGAGCATGGTAACTGGACAGTCACCCATACAAGATAGAAAGGTCACTGTAACACCTGAAAAAGCCATCATAATATCTAGTGTGCAACTGTTCTTTGTAGCATGCATGTGCCAGGACATTAAGTGTATTGCCGGATGGTAGGAAGAATTGTAACATCTTGTCTTTATAGGTCTACAACTCTTAATAAGAGACAGTTGTCAGCTGTTCTCCAGCACATGGGTGTATCGCAGTTAGGACATTTGGAAGTTCTCACCATTGTGTAATTGTGGGCGACTTTGTGCAAATCGGTGCATCCTTGTGCATCAGCAAAGGAGCGTATGCCCAGGCAGTTGGAAGGGTGGAGCTGCTTCATCAGAAACTTACAGCAAGCTTCGACTACCTCTGAGAGTTGTAGAAGGCAAGCTGAGGATAGTAGACATTCTATGTTCTCTTCTTTTAATTCCAGACGACCTGCCAGGAGAAACACTGCCATTAAATTAAAGCTAAGAGCAGTTTAGTTTAGCCATGTACTTTATCACCAGCCCAACACCAACACAAAAACCAGCCAAGTGACTTTGCCTAGGCACAGAGCACATCATCAGTCTGCTGCAGACAGGAGGAATCATATAGTCAGTCTTTCTCCCCAGGTGATTGGACTGCAACAATTTCAAATTGCAAAAGCAAGCGGGCTTATGCCACTGGATGGGAGACTTGATGCTGGTGCGGGTCCAGATTTCTAACAGGTCCAGGATTTCAGGATTTTACCAGAACGCCCGCTTTCTACTGCTGGCAAAAAGGGGGAAATAGGGGGAGCAGCGGGGACACGGGGCAGCAGAAGAGGC